AGGGACTGCTCTTGGAATCACCACCTATGGAAGAGAGGGGAAAAAGCAGATTAGGCTGAGAGAGAAATTGTCTTAACGAAAGCCTCATCCAATCCCATGAAGAGTATGAAGTTGGGATCGCCCTTCAGAATTATCCTGAGTTGGGGCAGCTTTTGGCCATGAATATAGGCTGTCACCAAAAGGGGGTGGTACCTTGGGGGAGGTCACTCTTCAGCTGAGGCAGTTCTGAAAAGGGCTGACAGCTGAGGGCTGTCTCCTGGTAGCACTCTTCAGCAGCTGGTGCGACAAATCCTTTAGTCTTTTCCTGTGTGTAAACCTTTTGTTGTTACTTTATAGTAGCAGTCTCATACAGTATTTGTCTTTTTGCGATTGCCTTATTTAACTCAGTATAATGACCTCCAGATTCATCCGTGTTGTGAGATGTTTTCCAAATTGGTCATTATTATTTATCATTGTATAGTATTCATTGTGTGTATGTACCAGTTTGTTAATCCATTCATCTGTTGATGGGCACTTAGGTTGCTTCCGCCTTTTTGCTGTTGTGCATAATGCTGCAGTGAACATGGGTGTGCATATGTCTATTCATGTGACGGCTTTTATTTCTTTGGGATATATACCTAGGAGTGGGATTGCTGGATCATATATTTCTGTTCCTAGCTTTTTGAGGAAAATTCTTTAGTCTTAAAGGGCTGTCTGTGTAGTTACTGTATCACAGTGACTACTATAGGGAGGTCAAGGTAGGTATGTGCAAACAAATTATAATGTGCTGTGGAAGCCAAGAGGAATGACTAATTGCTAGAGGGAGTTAGGGAATACTTATAGAAGAGTTGACATTTGAGATTAGGGAGGTGACATTTTTCATTGAGTCAGTGACATTTACACAGACTTAGGGAAAGGAATGATTTGTTTGAATAGGAAAGGATGAAATATATTATCTATCCTTTAATTTCAAGCAGTTAGGATAAAAATCATGAGGCTTTTTCTAAAATCTTAGTTTGCTTTCATGGTAATAATTTTCAAGAATTTTTAAGAAAACACTAGATCAAGCTTAGAGACTGAGACAAGCTCATCTTTGCCAGAACAAAGAAGATAGGCTTAGCCTGAGCGAGAAGCTTTTTTCCAGGGGTCTTAATTGGATTTGCTCCCTGCATTGTCGCATGTTCTTGGGTCTGAAACAGATGAATTTCCATGATACTACACATGTTCTTGTTTGTTGTCTCACTTTCTTCCTAGGATTTGAGGGTGTCCATGGGGAGTTAGAAGATAGGTTAAACCGTGGCTCCACCACTTATCAACTCTGACCTTGGGAAACTTGCTAAATATCTGATCCTGTTTTCTGACATGTAAAATACAGGTAGTGATGGATAATACCAGCCTTTTAGAGTTGTTGAAATAAATATGTAAAAGAGCTCTGTAAACTATGAGGTGTCACCTAGGATGTTGTTATTACTACTAAAAATCATTTTGTGAAATATTTATGTGATGCTAGGGTTCTGTGTTAGGATGAGATTATTAAAAACCAAAATTTGATTGCTAGGAGCTGAGGGTTTGGATGTAGTAGAGGCTACAACGCAAAACGGCATTATGAGAGAGATTGCAATCAAAATGAGTTGGTGGAGGATATCTAAGCCCCAGCAAAACTGTCAGTTCTGAATCTACCATTGAAAAGCCAGTATAGACAGAATCATAGACGTCTTGCCCAAAGACTTCAGCTAAGTGTTTCTAAGAATATTTCCTCTGGAAGAGATAGTCACCAGTTGATATGGTAAAGGCCCTGTCTGTCTCTTTGTGACACCTAATGAACTGGAAAGGCAGGAAACTTCAAGCATATCTCATTACTGAATGATAAATGGTGGTTATATGAAATACAGCCTCTAGTTCTAACTGAATGCTTTAGAGTCACTTGGGGAGCCTTTTCAGAATACAAACATCTGTATCCCAACTCTGGAGATTCTAGTTCAATATTTCTAGAATGGGACCTGGGTGTGTGTATTTTGAAAAAATTTCCCAGGTAATTCTGATGTGGTCTTCTAATTAAGAAACACTGGTTTTAGTGAGCTTTGTTTAATTGAAGGCGTTAACTCAATTTCTGAACGTTGGGAAAAAGAACTAAGTGTTGGGCTTTTTTTTTTTTTTAAAGGAAAGTTTCGGGGAGTGAATGCTGATTTCTATCAAAGCATTATGTATTTAGGGATAGCCTGATCTTATCCAGTGTTTTCCCACTCACAAAATGTTCGAGTGTTAAAACACCTAAAAGTGCTAATGGGACACTGGAATGTTGTGGAGGGCCCCTAAAAATGTTATATTTAGTTCTATTACGTGAACAAAGCATAATTTTACTAGAGGAAGAGACTACTCCATTATGCGTATATAATATAAAAATTATCACACGTGTCACAAAGTCCAAATAATAAGCATGATTGGACATTGTCTGAGTATTTACATTCAAAATAGTTTGCTACTTATTATTATTTTCTTATTTGCTGGCATGTAAGTAGTAGCAGGCACCCTAAGTTTAAGAAAAATTTATGGAGGTGAATAGCCTTTACGTTTGAGTAAACTGTACCAATAACTCATTTTTATTCCAATGGGGAAAAAAACCCCAAACATCCTTTCTGTGGTTGTAGTTGTTGGAACACTTTTGTCCAATTCATGAAGTCACTAAGTATGTAGTTTGGATGCTAGAGGGAAATCATTCATATGAGGTGGGGGGGTTTTCATCACAGATTTCCCCTAATGTTCCCAAAGGAATTTAGAGAGATAAGTAGCGGCCATAGATCATAGTCTTAAGAAGTAATCTCAAAGAGAATGTCTGGGCACCAGAATCTCTGAGATTTGGAAATAGAAGAGGCATACAAGCAGTGAAGCCTGTGAGAGCCAGAACTTGATGGGATTGCCTTGTTTTTCTGGGTCTCGCAAGTTTTCCGCCTTTGACAGGGTGCAGTCTTATCACTTTTCTATCATTCATTTTAGTGGAAAATATTTTGAGTTTGCCTTCTCTGCCAGGTTTCTGCCTTACACAGGTTCTGGCTTTCACAGGTTTTATTGTAGTTAGAAAAACATTTAATATTATAACATTTACATCTGTAGGTTGCTATGAGTCAGAATCGACTCGATGGCAACAGCTTTTTTTTTTTATCTGAAAAAATAGGGAAGATAATTTTTTATAATGCAAACTATAGAAAACAACGCCTGACAAAAAACTTACGTATTTTAATACTAGATACTTGTATTTTAGGTGGTTGCGGTAGCAGAATATGGTTGTGATTTTTGGTGAGTATGGTACATAACCTCCTATGTGGCTTATGTCAAAATATTGCATAAAACAAACAGACAAAACAAAAAGTTGTTGAGTCGATTCCAACTTACAGCATCCCTGTAGGACAGAGTAAAGCTGCCTATTAGAGTTTCCAAGGAGCGGTTGGTGGATTCAAACTGCCGACCTTTTGTTTTTTTTTTATTTTTTATTTTTAATTGTTGTAATTAAATGAGGTTTACATTTCAAGTTAGTCTCCCATACAGAATTTTTTTTTTTTAAACATACATTGTTATGAGACCCCAACCACTCACCCCATTCTGCGACAGCACACTCCTCCCCTCCGTCTCTGATTCCCCATGAACATTCAGCCAGCTCCTAACTCTCTCTGCCTTCCCCTCTCACCTCTGGACAGAAGCCATCTCTTTGAACTCTTATATCTACTTGTCTAAGAGGCACATTCTTCACAAGTATTACTTTATGTCCCACAGTCCAGTCCAATCCCTGTTTGAAGAGTTGGCCTCGGAAATTGTTTTAGTTCTGGGGTGATGGAGAGACCAGGGGCCGTGCTTTCTGGGGCACCTCCAGTCTTAGACCATTAAGTCTGGTCTTCTTACTAGAATTTGAGTTCTGCATCCCATCGTTCTACTGCTCCATCAGGGACCCTCTGTTGTGTTCCCTGTCAGGACGTTCATTGGTGGTAGCCAGGCACCATCTAGTTCTTCTGGTCTCAGGCTAATGAAGTCTCTGGTTTATGTGGCCCATTCTGTCTCTTGGGCCAGTACTTCCCTTGTGTCTTTGGTGTTCTTCGTTCTCCTTTACTCCAAGTGGTTGGGACCAATTGATGCATCTTAGATGGTGGCTTGCAAGCTTTTAAGACCCCAGATGCCACTCACCAAAGGAGGATGCAGAACATTTTCTTAATAAGGTTTGTTATGCCAATTGACATAGACGTCCCCTGAAAGCATGGTCCCCAGACCCCGCATCCCTGCTACTCTGTCTCTCAAAGTATTTGATTGTATTAAGGAAACTTATTAGCTTTGATTTAGTACAGTCAAACTGCCGACCTTTTGGTTAGCAGCTGAGCTCTTAACCACTGTGCCACCAAGGCTCCCAAATTTGGCATAGCGGACCTGAAATCTTTATTAAAAGGGGACTTGGGTAAAAAAAATTTTAGAGGCATTGTTTTAAAGAGATGATTATTTGTGAGGTTTAACTTCATATTATGGTGCTGTTCAGCTCAGAATAGTAGAGTATGGATGAAAGATCATTTTACAAGGTGTATTTTATCATACAGGGTTTTAGGATAATGAATGGGAGTGAACAGTATGCTACAGTTGTAAACGGGCCTAACTAAGTTTGTAGAATGATTGTGGTGGTTGTTAGCTGCCTGCCACTATGCACAATGGAACAAAATGCTGTCCAGTCCTGCGCCATCCCTATGGTTAGTTGCAGATCGGGCTGCTGTGATTTATAGGGTTTTCTTTGGCTGGTTTTTGGAAGTAGATCTCCAGGCTTTTCTTCCCAGTTCATCTTAGTTTGGAAGGTCCACTGAAACCTGTTCAGCATCATAGCAAAATGCAAGCCTCCATCAATGCTAGAGATTAATCCCGGTCTCCACACGGAAGGCAAGAATTCTACCGCTGAACCACCAGGCCCCCACTGTAGAATGATACATTTTCTTAAAGAGAATTATATTGCATTCTCTGGTTTTTTAAAACAGTAATTTTTTTCTTCTTTCCAGCTTTCTGAAGCAAGGACTCATTTTGAGGATGTTTAATAAATCGTTTGGAACACCCTTTGGGGGTGGCACAGGAGGCTTTGGCACCACTTCAACATTTGGGCAGAGTGAGTTTAAAAAAAGAGGGGAAGAAAGTTTCTTATTTAAGCTATTCTTATTAAGGACAAATTCACTCTGATAGCTTCAGACTAGAGTTTTATTTCTGCTTTGGTGTTTATAACACAGTCTCTGGAAAAATGACTAGGATATGATCTTGTTAAAAAATTTTCAGAAAATAGAAATAAGTTCTGAGTTTCCACGACTTTCCTACCATCAAGAGAAGATATTTAAAATATTTGTATTAATTGGTTCTTTTAGCAGAAAGTTGTAATTTGTTACTAATTCTTCAAACCAGGAAGTAATTTTTTAATGTTAAAGTCTAAAATACAAATATTGCACTGCTCTGGGATTTATTCTGTGAACAAAATGTGATATTCAGAGACATAATTGTTAAATGTCAAAGTCCTAATCCCCACCGGCAAGATCCTCTCCCACTCAGTATTGTACGTGACACCAGCTGCCTGTAGCAACTACTGTTTATTCACTTTTAAACTCATTGTTAAGAATAATTTTAAACTTACACAGAAGTATAAAGAACGTTTAATGAACACGTACGTACCTGTCTCCCAGCTTAAGCAGTCAGCATTTTCTAAATCTTGTTTATTTCTCTATTTTTAAAGGGAAGAGAATGTTTGGCCAAAGTATTTTAAGGCAAATCTCAAACTCTTTCTATAACTGATAAGGCTTTTTAGAAAATATAACCATCAAACCTTAATCATACCTTATAAAGTTAACAATAGCAGAGATTTTTTCAGGTGTCTCGTGACTTGTTCTTAGAATACTCTACTTCTAGGTCAGTGGTTTTTAACCGAGAGTGCCCATCATAATCGCATTTGGAGGCTTTTTTCCCCAAAGTACACATTCTTCATCATAGAACTATAGAATCAGAATCTCTAGGGTTGGAACCTGAGCATATGTATTTTGAAAAAGCTTCCCAGGTCATTCTCATGTGCTTCTGTATTTAAGGCCCATTCATCCCAGTACCTATGGGGTATAACAGTGTCTGGAGAAGATTTTAACGCTTTAATATTGACAGTTTTACTTTATCTGTAGCTCACATCACTTGTTAGCTTTGTTACTCTTTGTTTCTTTTACCTATCAACATCTGTAACATTTATTGAAAAGCAATACATTTTCACTCTGAGTTTCCATACTTCCCCTGAGGACAATGAAATAAAATGTCTGTGGCTTAATTTTAATACTGTAAATTAGTAGTCTGATGAAATTTTGAAAGAAGTGTTCAGATATAGACAGGTAATTCTATCCAAATGCAGAGTATTAAGAAGCATTCAAAGTCTTTTTAATTGTGTCACCTGAATTAGAATGTATTCTGACTTTGGATTTTGCTTTTTCAGATACTGGCTTTGGCACTACTACTGGAGGGGCATTTGGAACATCTGCATTTGGTTCTAGCAACAATACTGGAGGCCTGTTTGGAAATTCACAGACCAAACCAGGTAGGGGCTTTATTTGGAATATAGATGATTTATTTGTAACTGGTGTAGGACTTCATTTAGTAGCTCTGATCTGTTTACTTAATTGTTTTTTTCTCTTCTCTCCCCAGGAGGATTATTTGGTACCAATTCATTTAGCCAGCCAGCTACTTCCACAAGCACTGGTTTTGGGTTTGGCACATCAACAGGAACATCAAATAGCTTGTTTGGGACTGCAAGCACGGGAACCGGTCTCTTCTCATCCCAGAATAATGCCTTTGCACAAAATAAACCAAGTGGCTTTGGGAGTAAGTAAGATATTATTGGACTGTGGCATCTGACAATTTGGTTTCCTTATTAAATGTGTTCTTGCTTTCTTTTCCCTCTGTTCACCCATCTCCCTTTCCCCCCAAATGGCAAAAACATGGGGAGAGGAAGATTTCAAAAATGTATTGAAAAGTTTAATAGACGGGGGGAGGGGGGAGTGGCATATGTACATCTGTCCAAGGATGGAACTGTGAAAAGCACTACTATTTAAGAGATAAGAGGAAAAGGTGGCTGATAAAGAATGGCTAGCAATAGGATGAAAAGCCAGGTCAGAATAGTGTCAGTGTTAAGCAGGAGAATTTCACGACGGAATAAGTTGTAGTCAGCAGTGTTGTGCTGCAGAGGTACCTTTTCATACCTCTGTCTCACATTTGGTAGGAAGAGACTAGAACAGGAGTGACAAACACTAGACGTGACATGGTTATCTTCTCATTCCTTGTCTGTGCTAGCTGTTGCGTTCCCGTTCGTTGTCCATGGCAAACGTTGTTTATTGATCACGTTTTTTTTTTTTCTTTTTAAGTCTGACTTTGGCCTGGGAATACTTCTACACACAATACTTTGAGATAGCCACTACTAGTTGATCAGGTGTGCCCTATGAGGTTATGCTATTTCCAGCTCAAGAATATAGAAGAATGAGTTGTTAAGTCAGATAAGAGTGTTTTCCAAAGGGAGTGTTGTTTGTGGGGATGTTGAAATAGGTGACAATATAAAATGCAATTTAAAGTGCTAATTCAAGAGAGATGTGCCCATTTACTTCAAACTGTATATTAGGACATATTTTTAGAAAGAAATAACAGTTTGTCTGCCAGTGAGAAATCACATTCTTTCTAACTTGGTAATTCGAATATTTAATTTTAAATATTGGCAGATAACTTTTTATTAGTCACTGGCATTTCTGGCACCATATGTGTAACTTCTTTAGAGGTAGTGTCTCGTATTTCAAGAAATATTCTTTAGCTAACAGTTAAATTCATTTATATGGGATAGTTTTTTAGAACTTGTCTTTGGAAAGTAAGGTAATCAGAGGATCTGCTATTAGTTTCTATAAAGTGATTGACAATACCTACTAATTTTTCCAAAATTTTTTTTTTTTTTTGGGTGAAAAGTTACCTTAACCTGTGTTTCATTGCTAGTAGGACCATTTGTATGTTCTGAATATTTTGGTTGTGTGTGTGTGTAAGTAAAAAAGTATGTGTAAATAAAATATTCTCTGAGCCCTGTCGAAGTCTGTTGTGATCAGATGTTCTCAGAAACACAAGTTCATTCAACATCTAGTCTTAAGAAAAGGATGAGATAAAATTAATGATGAAGGAAAGTAGTATTTCTTTTAACTTGTCTTCCAAGTATGCTTAAGGAGGGTTTTACGGATACTTAGATGATTAAAGAATTCAGACTTTGTCTCACTTGAAAGTTGTAAACTTAGATGTATGAATGTGTCTGTATGAAATATGTGTCTGAACTTGCTAGGCAGATTTGAAAGAACATTTGAGGATGTGAAAACAGTGCTGCTGTGGTGCCACAGCCCAATTCCAAAAGGAATTCTTAAATTCCTTTCTGGTTACCACTCATTTTTCTTTCTAATTTATAGATTTTGGAACAAGTACTAGCAGTGGAGGGCTCTTTGGAACTACAAATACCACCTCTAACCCTTTTGGTAGCACATCTGGCTCCCTTTTTGGGCCAAGTAGTTTTACAGCTGCGCCTACTGGGACTACCATTAAATTCAACGTGAGTATTTTCTTCTGATCTTTGTGGAATGTGTCTCTTTTCCACTTGTATATTTCTTTGCAGGATGAATTGTAAAAAATTACTCCTCTTTCCATTTATGAATAATGTATTTTGACTCTTCCTGAAAGATGTGTTAAAAATAAAGTCTGTAAATAATTGTATAGTAGATAGTAAGTGTTGTGAAACATAGATCTAAATTATAATGTATGTTTGAATTATGCTCAACCCAATCAAATTTGTATTCATAAGGTTGCTTATAATAGGTAGTATAAGGTTGAACTTGAATTTACTGTTTTCACAATTTGACCTCTGAATGGTCGACCCTTCTTTATTTCTATAAAGGAGCAAACTGTAGAAAAATCATTTAAAATAAGGCCTGTTTAAGGAGGTATATGAAATAGCTCATCAGTATTCTGTGTTGGTTGAAAAATGAATTTTTAGTTGATGAAATGGCAGAGTAGGACAGTAGAGTTTTGATTTTTTTTTTTTTTTTAAGAGGAGCTGGGTAGAGGATTAGAGTGGAGGATTTTGTTTATGAAAATATGGCATACCACTTGATATAAGTTGTTGAGGGATGCTTAAGATAGAGTGGAGGTGCAGTTAGTCTAATGGAAATCTATGGCAGAAATAGAGATTGGCAAAACTTTTTATTAAACTTCTCTCCATAAAATGAAGACTATCTCAGGTGATTAATTCATAATACTGAATTTAGAATCCTTAATTTAAAATAAAGTTAAATATAAGTGGTAGTGAAAAATACTGTGTGATGTCTCTTAAAAAGTACAGTACAAGTGGGACTGTGTACCTTTTTCCTTATAAGGCTGTTGGGGGAAAAACAGGCTTCCATAGTTTCTTAAATGCAACAGCAGTTATAAAGCAAACACTTCAGGGCAGAATATGGGATAGGACTCAGACATAGAGGTTTAAATGTGTATGCTGCATAAATAGGTTAACACTTTTCTTATGCAGATAATATTAAGCATATTTTAGTAGATAATTTGATGGGTTGGGTTATGGGATTAAACCCTGGGTTCGTGATAACTTGGTTACTTAGTTTGACTTATTCAGACAACTTGGATGTAGTGAGTGATCAGGAATGCAATATATTTATGCAGGCATTTTTGAAACTCTCAAAAGAGGAAGGGGACTAATTTTAGAGTTCACTGGTTGAGGAATTGTGTCTGTGAGAGTAGGAATATAAAGCTTGCACTTTAAAATTTGCCTTTATCTCCCTTTGCAGCCTCCAACTGGTACAGATACTATGGTCAAAGCTGGAGTTAGCACTAACATCAGCACCAAGCACCAGTGTATTACTGCTATGAAAGAATATGAATGCAAGTCACTAGAGGTCAGTAAAACGCAATAGAGAGTATCAGTCTAACCTTTTCATTCTGTTGGAAAGCAGCTTTTAAAAATGCTTTTGATTATTTTTAAAATTAAATGGTTTACATTGAGTTTATGGAAAAAGCTTTAACATGAACTAAATTGTTTAAAATTTTAATGTACATTTAATATCTGATTTTCAAGATAGGGATCGTATTCAGCTTGTTTGTATTGGTGTAGCTTTACTGATGATCTATTCTGATTGGATGTTGCTTGCACTACACTGGGCAATGTGTGTATGTGTACATGTGTTTTTAGTAAACTTGTTATTGTTGAAGTATAGCATACATGCAGAAAAGTGCAAAGTCATAAGTTTACTTACTACTCAATAAATTTTCACTAAATGAACACACTCATGTAACCAGGATCCAGATCATGAAACAACACTACCAACATCCTAAACATTCCCCTTGTGCCCCCTAGTCACAATCCTCCTCTTCCAAAGGTAATCACTATCTTGACTGCCTATTTTTTAACTTTATATAGCTGGAATTTTACATTATGTACTCATTTATGTCTGTCTTCTTTCAGTGTTTTGAGATTCATGTAGTTGCATAAGGTTAGTTCGTTCTCTTTGCTGTCCATTGTATAAAATTTTAAAATATTTAAACATTTTAACAGACATGCTGATTATACCTGTTACTGTTTCTTGCTTCTACCTACATCCCGTAGTTGCTTTATTGGAGTGTGCAGAAACACGCTGACTCAAGAAATAAAATTATTAAAGTTTGTCCTCATTTTTCCTAAATTTTCCAAACTCTCCAGAATCCTTCATCTTTTATCAGCTAATTTTTACATTTAAGGATGACAGTAAATGAGATTATTATATAGCATTTTACCGAAAGAAAGTATTTATTCCTTATCAAAAAATAATTAAGATTAAGATGGGTTAGACCCTTTGGGCTGTAGTTTTATGGTAGTGATGATATGGATTTTAATGTCCATTATAAATTATTGGAAATTTTTTTTGTAATGATATTGAAGTTAATGTCATTCTGTCGTTTTCTTTTAGTCATGTTTCCTGTGTGATAACTTGAGAATTAAGGTATTAGTTTCCTAAATAATTTTTTTGGCTATATAATAAGATTGGAAATATGTTTTCATTCCCCTCAGGAACTTCGTTTAGAGGATTATCAGGCTAACCGGAAAGGTCCTCAGAACCAGGTGGGAGCAGGTACCACGACTGGCTTGTTTGGGTCTTCTTCGGCCACCTCCAGCGCTACAGGACTCTTTAGCTCCTCTACCACTAATTCAGGTTTTGCATATCAGAACAAAACTGCCTTTGGAACTAGTAAGTGCTTGGCATCTTATTGTACCATATTGAGTTTATTTAAGCTGGGAGTTGGCTAATGTGTGCCTGATTTGCAGCATGGTTTTCTTTATCTCTTGACTGCTGTCAAAACGTCCTCAGATTTAACTGTAAGAGGAGTACATCCTAGAAAGTTAAGGTTGTATGCTTATGATTTCTCCTAAAATGAAGTGGGCTTCCGTAGGACTCCAGTGTGACAGGTAATTCAAACAGAAACTACGCAACGATTAACCTTTTGTTTAGTAACAGGTATGCAAGCAATGGTTGTACTCATTTAACAAATTTATTGAAAGCTTCCCACATGCCAGGTAGTATTCTAATTGTTAGATATACAACAGTGAACAAAATAGACAGTAACTGCTTCGCAGAGTTTACCCGTTAGTGAGAGGAGAAAAACAATAGAAAGTAAACCATAATTATCACTTTGTGATAAGTGCTATGGAGAAAAATAATGCAGGGATGCTGGGGGAACAAGGAGTGCCTGGTATGTATGTGGGGATGGGGAGAAATGCAGTTTTAAATGAAGATGGTTAAGGAAGGCTTCACTGAGAAGGTGATGTTTGAGCAGCGACCTGTCTGAAGAAGATGAAGGAACAAGCTGCAAGCTGTTCAGGTTCCTAGGGGAAGAGCATACCAGCTAGAGGAAACTAAGTCTAGAAACCATGAGTTTTTGCAAGAGAGAGAGGACGAGGGGAAATACTGGTGAGTATATGGGGATTAGATTGTATAGGATTTTGTGGGTCAGTGTCAGTAGTTGCATTTTTATTGGAGTGAGTTGGGAAACCATTAGAAGGTTTTGAAAGAGGAGTGATGTAATTATGAGTTAAGGATCATTTTTGAAGGTTCCTGTATTGAGAGTAGATTGTAAGGTGAGAAAGTTGGGAACAGATCAATTAGAAAGGGATGAGATGATGGTGGCTTTGACCAAGGTCGTGCTATGGGGACAGTAAAAGGTCAGATAAACTCCTTATTCCTTGGCCTGCCTTTCCTCTATCAGCTTGCTAACTGGTTTCTGATACGTTTGATTAGTGCAAGGGGCAGGAGAACAGGAAAGTTCTTACTTGACCAGTGTGCTTTTTATAAGATCGATTTGTGTGTGTGTGTGTGTGTGTGTGTGTGTGTGTTTTGGTGGGGGGGTCAGATTCTGGACCCAGTTTTATACACAACTGGTAAGATTTGCCAACTGGCTGATTAGATGTGGCATGTGAAAGAGGAGTCTAGGATGATGACCAAATTACTTTAAAAAAATATTACTTTTGAAAAGCTAATACTGATAATATGGAACAAAATTCACAAAATACAAAAAAACTGTATAACCGAAGGTCTGTACCCATCTCCCAGCCACTAGTTTGCCTCTGTAACGACAACAAAAAGTTAGTTTTTTCGTGCACACACATGCAATTAAGTACATATTTATCAAAGTGATATTTAACATTATTTTTCAATCCTAGTGTTCTCTGATTTAGTTTATTCATTATCGAGTACTATGTATCTGACCCTATGCATCTAAAGAGGAGATTGCTGTTAAGAAAAGTGTAGTCTAACAGTGAAAATACATACATAGACTTTTAGTGTAGTGTGACAGCATGTAAAATAGAAAAAAAGCTATGGGCTTACAAAGGAAGATCACTTAGCCCAGGCAGGGTTCTTAGGGTCAGGGAACTGTTATTGTAGGAATTGAAGTCTGAAGCAAATCTGGAGTTAGGTGAAGAAGGATGGGAATTGAAATGGTCATTCAGTTTGAGTAGCGAATATAGGGTAGTTTTGATTTGTAACAGATAACATAAGACTTTTGTAGTGACTGGATAATGTAAAATTTGTTTTTGTTTTTTTAATTTATTTTTCCTTTTTCTGAAAGGTACAACTGGATTTGGAACAAACCCAGGTGGTCTCTTTGGCCAACAGAATCAGCAGACCACCAGCCTCTTTAGCAAACCATTTGCCCAGCCCACAACCACCCAGAACACTGGCTTTTCCTTTGGTAATACCAGCACTCTGGGACAGCCAAGCACTAACACCATGGTAAGAAAATAGGCCCTTAGTTAACTCCACCACCATGTATCTGTCAGTTTGGTGGCTCGCGCGTTGCTTTTTTGCCAGCTTCTGCAGTCCAAGATTGATCAAACATGCAATCAAGATGCATTGGTACTTACGGTGATTGAAATGCAAAAGTTGGAAACAAAGGAGGAGGAACAGTAGCTGGAAAGTACGGCGCTGGTGATAGAAATGATGCCAGAAGTCGCATGATAGAGTTTTGCAAGACCAATGACTTCATTGCAGATACTTTTTCACCAACATAAGTGGTGACTTTACTCGTGGACCTCACCAGATGGAATACACAAAAATCAAATTGACTACGTCTATGGAAAGACACAATGGAAAAGCTCAATATCGTCGGTCAGAACAAGGCCAGGGGCCGACTGTGAAACAGACCATCAACTGCTCATATGCAAGTTCAAGTTGAAATTGAAGAAAAGTAGAACAAGTTCATGAGAGCCAAAGTATGACCTTGAGTATATTGCACCTGAATTTAGACACTGTCTTGAGAATAGATTTGACGCATTGAACACTAATGAACGAAGACCAAATGAGTTGTGGAATGACATCAGGGACATCATACATAAAGAAAGCAAGAGATCTTTAAAAAGACAGGAAAGAAAAGATCAAAATGGATGTCAGAAGAGACTCAGAAAGTTGCTCTTGAATGTAGAGTAGTGAAAGCAAAAGGAAGAAATGATGAAATAAAAGAGTTGAACAGAAGATTTCAAAGGGTGGCTCGGGAAGACAAAGTATTATAATGACATGTGATGAGACCTGACGATAGAAAACCAAAAGGGAAGAACACGCTCAACGTTTCTCAAGCTGAAAGAACTGAAGACAAAATTCAAGCCTAGGGTTGCAATATTGAGGGATTCTACGGGGAAAATATTAAACAACACAGGAAGCATCTAAAGAAGATAGAAGGAATACACAGAGTCACCGTACCAAAAAGAATTGGCTGACGTTCAGACATTTCAGGAGGTAGCATTTGATCAGGAACCGATGGTACTGAAGGAAGAGGTCTAAGCTACACTGTAGGCATTGGGGAAAAACAAGGCTCCAGGAATTGACAGAATACCTATTGAGATGTTTCAACAGACACATGCAGTGCTGGAAGCGCTCACTTGTCTATGCCAAGAAATTTGGAAGACAGCTACCTAGCCAACCGATTGGAAGAGATCAATATTTATGCCTATTCCCAAGAAAGGTAATCCAATCGAATGTGGAAATAATTGAACAATATCATTACACAAGTAAAACTTTGCTGAAGATCATTGAAAAGTGGTTTCAGCAGTACATCAACAGGGAACTGCCAGAAATTCAAGCGGAATTCAGAAGAGGACATGAAACGAGGGATATCATTGCTGATGTCAGATGAATCATGGCTGAAAGCAGAGAATACTGGAAAGATGTTTAACTGTGTTTTATTGACTCTGCAAAGGCATTTGACTGTGTGGATCATAACAAATTATGGATAACATGGGAATTCCAGAACACTTACTTGTGCTCATGAGGAACCTGTACTCAGACCAAGAGGCGATCAGGGAACAAGGGAATACTGCATGGTTTAAAGTCAAGAAAGGTGTGCATCAGGGTACTATTTTTTCACCATACTTAAATTCAGTCTGGATGCTAAGCAGATAATCCAAGACGCTGGGCTGTATGAAGAAGAATGTGGCATCAGGATTGGAGGAAGACTTAGTAACAACCTGTGATATGCAGATGACATAACCTTGCTTGCTGAAAGTGAAGAGGACTTGAAGCACTTGCTGATGAGATCAAAGACCATAGCGTTCAGTTTGGATTATACCTCAACATAAAGAAAATAAAAATTCTCACAACTGGACCAGTAAGCAACATCATGATAAACAGAATAATTTAGGTTGTCAGGCATTTCATTTTACTTGGATCCACAATCAACGCCCATGGAAGCAGCAGTCAGGAAATCAAATAATGCTTGCAATGGGCAAATCTGCTGCAAAAGATCTCTTTAAAATGTTAAAAAAGCAAAAGTGTCACTTTAAGGACTAAGGTGTGCCTGACCCAAGCCATGGTGTTTTCAGTTGCCTACTATGCATGTGAAAGCTGGACAATGAATAAGGAGGACCAGAGAAGCATTGATGTCTTTGAATTATGGTGTTGGCGAAGAATATTGAATATAGCATGGACTGCCAGAAGAATGAACAGATCTGTCTTGGAAGAAGTACAGCCAGAATGTTCAGTAGAAGCAAGGATGGCAAGACTTAGTCTCACATACTTTTTACTTGTTATCAGTGGGAAATAGTCCATGGAGAAGAGCATCATGCTTGGTAAAGTAGAGGGTCAGTGAAAAATAGGAAGACGCTCGACGAGATGGAGTGACACAGTGGCTGCAACAGTGGGCTCAGGCATAACAGTGATTGTGAGGAGGGATAGTGTTTTGTTCTGTTTGATGGCTCCTAACAACATAACAACAATTAACTCAGAGTCTTATTTGTAGAGCTAAGTTATAAGGTTTCTAATTATGTGAAACTAGGAAGTTTTATCCTTACTGTAGTTCTTAAGGGTCGAGAGTATGAAATGTTATGAAGAGAGCGAATTCTTCAAATAATTAACTAGATTTCAGTCCACCTTCTATTCTTTATTGAGAGGATGTTGAGCAAGTCACTTACCCTGCCTGAGCATGTTTTCTCATCACTAAGTAACAGCTGCATAGTGGGCTAGAATTGGCCATCCTGAAGCTATACCTTGAGTCATTGACTCCAGTCATTCTATAAGCTATAGGAAAAATATTTATCAATTACTGGCTATATTTCAGAACGTTTTTTCAGCTTGTTCCTGTAAGTGGAGGCAGGTAAAGTTTAGTTAAAAAAGGTCCACCTAAAACTCAAAGCCGTATTGGATAACTGCTACTTCTCTGTAGAAAGCGAAGGATAGTCCTTGTGGTCATTACCTGTTTGTTTCTAGAGACCCCTTTAGGGAAGCATGAAATTAAGGATTGATTTGAGGTGTGATTTATTGATGAGAAGTCTTGGGGTTTACTTGATCTTTAAATTAGAGATAATTTCCTCAGTTATAAAGCAAGTACAGCTGGGACCCAAAAATCCTCAACAACATAATAGCAAACTAAATATGGCTACATTTAAAAAAAAAAATTATACATCATGAACAAATGGGATTTATCCCAGGAATGACAGGCTGATTCAACATATGAAAATTAATCAATGCAGTACACCATAGTAGTAGAATAAAGGACAAAACCCACCTGGTCATCTCAATAGATGCAGAAAAAGCATTTGACAAAACCTAATACCCTTCCATGGTAAAAACACTCAGCAAAGTAAGAATAGAAGGGAACATAGAATAGCTAAAACAAATCTCAAAAAAGAATAAAGTTGGAGAACTCGTACTTCACAATTTTAAAACTTACTACAAAGCAATAGTAATCAAGACAGTGTGGTACTGGCATAAGGATAAACAGATCAGTGGAGTAGAATTGAAAGTCTAGAAATAAACCTTCATATTTACAGTTGATTTTTTTTCATTAAGTATGCTAAACTAACAGTTCAATGGGGAAAGAGTAGTCTTTTCAACAAATGAATATCCACATACAAAAGAATGAAGTTGGACCCTTTCTTTATACCATATAAAGAAATTAACTCAAAATGGATCAAAGATGTAAATGTAAGAACTAAAGCTATAAAACCCTTAGAAGGAAACAGGAGTAAATCCTTATAACTTTGGGTTAGGAAATAGTTTCTTAGGTATAACACCAAAAGCACAAATGACAAAAGAATTAGACTTCATCAAAATTAAAAACTTCTATTCCTTAAACGGTACCATGAAAAAAAATGAAGGGGAAAAAAAAAAAACCAGCACGCAGACTGGAAGTATTTGCAAATCATATATCTGATAAAGGAGTTGTAGCCAGAAAATATAAAGAACTCTTAAAACTCAAAAATAAGTAGACAGATAGCCCGACTAAAAATTGGGCAAAGGATTTGATTAGATATTTCTCCAAAGAAGATACACAAGTGGCCAATAAGCACATGAAGAGATGCTTAACATCATTAGTCATTAAGGAAATGCAAGTCAGAACCACAATGGTATACTACTTCATACCCACTTGAATGGCTGTATTAAAAAGACAGTAACAAGTGTTGGTAAAGCTGTGGCGAAATTGGAACCCTTATACATTTTTAGGGGGATTGTAAAGTGATGCAGCTGCTGTGGAAAACAAGTTTGGCAGTTCCTCAAAATGTTAAACCTAGAATTTCCAATTAAGCCAGCATTTCAACTCCTACGTATGTACCCAAGAGAATTGAAAACACAAGAATTTGTATGTGAACGTTCATAACAGCAATATTCATAATAGCCAAAAAGTGGAAACAAATCAAATGTCCATCAACCAATGAATGTACAAACAAAATATGGTATATTCACATATGAAGTATTACTTGGCAATAAAAAGGAGTACTGATACTTACAACATGGTGAACCTTTTAAATATGGTAATTGAGAAAAGACAAGTCACAAATTACCACATATTGTATGATTCCATTTATATGAAATTTCTGGAATAGACAAATCCATAGAAACAAAGTAGACTAGTGGTTGACTAGGCTTAGGGTGAGGGATAGCGAGTGAGTGATCATGGAAACAGGATTTTTTGGGGAGTAATGAAGTGTTCTAAACTTAGTGGTGATGGTTTCGCAGCTTAGTGAATGTACTGAAAAATCACTGAATAGTATACTTCAAATTGATGAATTTTATGAAATGTAAATGATACTTCAATAAAGCTGTTTTAAAAAATAGTATAGTGAATTTTCAATTCAGCAGTAGTCGGTTAGCACAATATTTCTCGTTCATTAGCTAATGCTTAATAAAATACTTTGTTAAACATTGGACAATGCAGACTTCCATCATTTGAAAAGAGTGTAAGAAGACTTCTTAACATTATGCTCCTGTCTCTGTTCAGATGAATTTGATTATTTTTAGTTATTTGATTTAAAATTCATTTAAAGAACAGTTAATTCTATTGTCCTAACTTTTTGAAAGTGAGACACCCTGTCATACTATTTGGTTTTCAGTGTTGCAACCCTGACATCTCTTTTTTTTTAATTTTATTTTTTATTGTTGTAGTTTAAATGAAGTTTACATTTCAAGTTAGTCTCCCATACAAAATTTTATACATACATTGTTCTGTGACCCTAATTGCTCACCCCACTCTGTGACAGCACACTCCTCCTTTCCGAGCCTGATTCCCCAGGTCCATTCAACCAGCTCCTAACCCTCTCTGCCTTCCCATCTTACCTCTGGACAGAAGCTGCCCCTTTGGTCTCTTGTATCTACTTGAGCTACGAGGCACACTCCTCATGAGTATCACGTTATGTCCCACGGTCCAGTTCAATTCCCGTCTGAAGAATTGGCCTCGGAAATTGTTTTATTTCTGGGCTGATAGAGAATCCGGGGGCCATACTTCCTGGGGTATCTCCAGTCTCAGTCAGACCATTAAGTCTGGTCTTCTTACTAGAATTTGAGTTCTGCACCCCACCTTTCTCCTGCTCCATCCGGGACTCTCTGTTGTGTTCCCTGTCAGGGCAGTCATTGGTGGTAGCCGGGTACCATCTGGTTCTTCTGGTTTCAGGCTGATGAAGTCTCTGGTTTATGTGGCCCTTTCTGTCTCCTGGGCTAATACTTTCCTTGTGTCTTTGGTATTCTTCATTCTCCTTTACTCCAGGTGATTGGGACCAGTTGATGCATCTTAGATGGCCGCTTGCAAGCTTTTAAGACCCCAGAACATTTTCTTAATAAGCTTTGTTATGCCAGTTGACCTAGATGTTCCCTGAAAGCATGGTCCCCAGACACCTGGCCCTGCTACTCTGTCTTTCAAAGTGTTTGATTGTATTCAGGAAACTTCTTAGCTTTGGTTTAGTCCAGTTGTGCTGACTTCCCCTGTAGTGTGTGCTGTCCTTCCCTTTGCCTAAGATGATTCTTACCTATTTTCTAGTTAGTAAATAACTCTCACCCTCCCTCCCCACCCTCGTAACCATCAAACAATGTTTTCCTCTGTGTTTAAACCTTTTCTTGAGTTCTTATAATAGTGGTCTTACACAGTATTTGTCCTTCTGTGACTGACTAAATTCACTCGGCATAATAAGTTCCAGCTTCCTCCACATTATACGATGTTCCATGGCTTCATCATTGTTCTTTATCGTGTAGTATTCCATTGTGTGGATATATCACAATTTGTTTATCCATTCGTCCGCTGACGGGCACGTAGGTTGTTTCCATCTTTTTGCTATTGTGAACAGTGCTGCAAATGAACATGGGTGTGCATATGTCTATTCGTGTGATGGCTCTTACTTCTCTAGGATATATTCCAAGGAGCGGGATAGCTGGATTGTATGTTACTTCTGTTTCTAGCTTTTTAAGCAATCCTCATATCTCTTAAAGCACCAGATTTTTAGTGAGTGTTCCCCAGCACAAGAGTAACTGTAAAATCTTAGCTGCTTAGCAGGATCTTGGAGCTTGTTATCTTGGAAACAACAGGGGCTTAGATATAGGTATGAATTTGTGGTCTTGCCATTCAGGAGCTGTGACATTTTGGGCAAATTTTTAACCTCTCTAAACCCTGTTTTCATTTGGGAAATGAGGATTATCCCAGCTTTTCCTGATTGTTGTAAGGAAAAGAGATGCTCTACGTAAAGTAATATAGTGTCTGTCATATGGTAAGCTTTTTTTTTTAAAATGGTAACTATTAATCTAGTATTCTCCATGATTCGGAATTAACTGGACGACAGTTGGTTTGGTTTTTGTTAGGACTCTAAGAAAACTGCTGTAGATATCTTTTAATCTAGATTATTAATCTTTTGCAGGGTTTATTTGGAGTAACCCAAGCCTCACAGCCTGGAGGTCTTTTTGGGACAGCTACAAACACCAGCACTGGGACAGCATTTGGAACGGGAACAGGTCTCTTTGGGCAGCCCAATACTGGATTTGGTGCTGTTGGTTCGGTAGGTTTTTACAGTTGACTGTAATTTGAAGATATGTTTAAACCTGTTAAAGAGCTTACTAAGATTTGATTGTCTTTCAAATATTTTTATTGGATATGCTGTATGATTTGATATTGAGAGGAGCTAAAAGCTATTTGATGCAAAATAAAACAACTAAATAATTTCAGCAGGTTTCTTTTCAGTTAGTAGATTTCTTTCCTTTTTAAAACTTCTTTGCCTTAATGCTTGTGTGCAGTTTACCTCTGATAGCAAAGTATCACTCCAGTAGGTTGAGTTTAAATTCTTCAATCTAAATTGAGATAAAACATTCACTCTGTTAAAATCAGATAATTTTTAACTCCTAGTGCCACCCTTTGTTTTGGGTGATAAATTGGTATGGTATTTGGGAGCTACAAAAATGTTTTTCTTTTGTACTGATCAAATTGCTGAAATAGTGGGATTCTCATGCTGCTGGAGGCTAAACTGAATTATTTTCAGTTTAAGTAAAAAATTTAAGTACAAAGTTGCTATTCAGGAATGCACTTGACCTAGAAACAAGAGTGAATTCTGTATTAGTACTTATAAAAAAATAACTGGTTATGTGAGAATCAGTATGAAACAGTCAATCTATTATGCATCCATTACAAAAAGCTTTGAACTTGCTATTGTTGATAGTTAAAAAAAAACAAAAAAGAAACAAAATCCATGAAACATGTGGTCCTGTTTTCATGGAGATTTAAATCTGATATTTCTGAACTTAGTTTCCTGAGAAATTGAGTAACTTATATAATGCTTCAGAAAGCTCTATACAATTCACCATTTAAGGTGTATTCAATGATTTTTAGTATAGTCACAGAGTTGTACAAGTATCATTCCACAAACAATTTTAGAACATTTTCATCAACCCAGAAAGGAACTCCCCACTTATTAGCAGTCACTTCCCCTTCTCCCCAGCCCCTCAAGCCTAGTCAACCACTAATCTGCTTTCTGTCTCTGGATTTGCCTATTCTGGACATTGCATTTAAATGGAACGGTACAATATGGTCTTTTTTAACTGGCATGTTTTACTTAGCATGTTTCCAAGGTTCATCTGTGTTGCAGTATGTTTAAATTTTTTATTGCACCTGTTCCTACTAGCACATTAAATTCTTGATACATTTCTGTTACAAGGTAAAAAATGTTTGGTTGCCTAGTTATTTTTTTTCCTTGACCTTACTGAAAATCTTGTGTTTGCTGAGAGGTTTTCGGGCTCCGACAGTCTGTGTTTATAAAGTTAATCCTGCTTAGATTACTGTGGTGTGTTTTTCTGATAGTTTTTATTTATCATTCCGTGTTTTTCATAAATGTTATGACATCTCTTCCCCAACCCACTTCCCCACCCAATCCAGTATACCTGAGATAACCTCTATTTACTATTGCATGTATATCTTTCTTTTTTTTAATTATGTTTTAGGTGGAAGTTTACAGCTCAAGTTAATTTCTCATACAAAAATGTATACACATATTGTTATATGCCATTATTTGCAATCCCTATAATGTGACAGCACACTCCCCCTTTCCACCTCGGGTTTCCCGTGTTCCTCCAACCAGCACCTGTCCGTTTCTGCCTTCTCATCCTGCTTCAAGACAGGAGCCACCCATTTGGTCTTGGGTGTCTGCTTGCACTAAGAAGCATACTCTTTACGAGTATTATTTTATGTTTTCTAGTCCAGTCTAATCTTTGTTTGAAGAGTGGGCTTCATGAATGGTTTTAGTTCTGGGTTAACAGAGCTTCTGAGGGCCATGGCTTCGGGGGTTCCTCTAGTCTTAGATCATTAAGTCTGGTCTTTTTACGTGAATTTGAGTTCTGCTCCACGCTTTTCTCCTGCTATTGTGTGTTTATATTATTTTAAAATTGTCTGTGTTCTGTTCTTTTTAGACCCTGTTTGGCAATAACAAGCTTACTACATTTGGAACCAGCACAACCAGTGCTCCTTCATTTGGTACAACCAGTGGCGGGCTCTTTGGTAACAAACCAACCCTGACTTTAGGAACCAATACAAACACTTCCAATTTTGGTACATATAAAAAGCAGGTTTGACTCTCTTAAGGTTACACTGACTATACCACACATCTTTCTCCTGATTCATAAGATTGGGAATATTTAAAAATTCTCAGGTAAGCCGTGGCTTGATATGAGGTACCAGAGGGAAAAGTTTAAAATCATGGACATGGGCTGGGAAAATTAGAAGAGATGTACAGTAAATTGCCTTTCCTTGTACAAATTCTCTTGTCTTTCTCCTTAAGTGTACCTGCAGGGTACTTAGCAGAAAGTTCATTCCCTAATGAAGGTAGATTTTTTTCAAAATAAGGAGACACCATTTTCTTTGGATTACTTGTCCAGTAACTAAGGAAGCATAAATGAGACATTTGGTCAATATAACACATTCTGTTAGGCCAGTTTTCAAACATGGAAATAGTGCACAGGAGGTGATTTGATGATGCTTATTGCAAGTTGAAACCTTTCTGATTTTGGAGATTATACAGTAGTTTTCTGGTAGTTTCAAAAATTTTATTTTTCTGACTATATAGCAGGACCTGTTCATTGTAAAAAAAAAAAAAGGAAGAAAAAGAAAAAATTCAAATAAGATTGAACAACAATTTAAAAACAAAAAATCCTAAACTATTCTTTGGAGATATGCTGGAAAGTTTTAAACCAGTTTAATGGAAATATTATTTTAAATGTCTTCTGTCACTAGCTAATTAAGTTTTCAAATGAATTTAACATTTGTTTTAAGTGAGATATGGAAAGTTCATTTTATTTCCATGGAAAATAGTGGTTCAAATATTTGTTGAGGATCTCATGTGCCTGATGCGTTATAGGCACTGATTGATTCTTTGTGGGAGATGAGTACAAAGATACGGCCATTTGGTATAGTTCAACAGTTACACAGTTCTTCAGTCAGTTTTTGAAAGATCTGGTAATGTGCTGGAGAAAGAGAACATATTAAACACCTGTTTGAAGATTATATGTTTTCACGGAAGTACATGAAGGAGGGAGATAGTTCTTTGTCTGGTACCGATTCCTAAATTTGGTTTGATTTTTATAATCCCTTTTAGTCCTGTTGCTTGCTCACTCTTAATAATGATTATATTTCCACCTTTAATTCTTTCTGATTGTATCCTATTTGAAAGAACAGTTTTGAGGCAGTGGACTTGGTTAGTATGGGTAAGATATCTAGTTTGTGTATTTGTGTTTCTTATCAATAAAATTAGGATGGGAAAGATACATAAGGGTTAAATCAGTATTTCTCAACTTTTTTTCACCACTCCCCTTTCCCCAGGGAGCCTTTTTTAGACCTTTTTTTTCACTAATCATCCTTTCTTCCCATGAAATTTAATACCTCAGATATACTGTGTATCTCTTTATGTATTATGGCTCTTTGGATAATCACAAACCATTATATCTGATTTTTAGCCCCCCCAAGAAAAAATTTTCACCCCTTTGAGAGTATATGGGTTTAGCAAAAGCTCTTTTTGTTGCACAGTTTATTTCATTTCCAGAACTAAATGTTATTTTTATCTGACAGGGTGCTTGTATAGGTTATACTTGATAAAATATGCCATACTTTTAAAATATATTTGATGTTATTCCAAGGTTGTAGATTTCTGATTTGTTTGGAGATTTGTTGTTGTTATGTGGATATACTCATGTTTAGTAATTTGAAATTGAAAGGCCTCATCTTTTATCTGACATGCCTCACTAGCTTATATGCTGAATTTGAATTGTCTTTAATTTTAATTTGTAAAATTGTTTTGAAATAAGAGTTGGTAAACCTTTGTAAGTGAGAATCAGAGGGAATGTGTGGTATAAACAGTGTAAGTTGGGACTTACTTCCCTCTTGTGGGTTTGAGGTAGTTCACAAGTGTCTCATTTTCTACTGTTGATGGGGTTGGAAGATCCTTTCTGGTTAAATTTTAACTCAGAAAGAAATAGAATATTTCCAACTACATTTTCTTTTTTTATAGAAAGTTGATTGTGCTTGACTAGTCAGCACTCCATTTTTGTGGCATAGCTATTAATCAGCACAATTCAAGAAAAGAGTTAATGAATGCATAAATCAAATATATTGAGATTATGTCAGATTACTTGCTTGGATTTTAAAATGACATTAGAAATATGTTTCTTTTAAAACTGTTTATATTCCTTTCTTCAGCTTTTTTTCTTGATCTTTTTTATTGAGATAATCCAAATACTGAGCATGACAAAGTATAATAATCTTAGTTTAGTGATGCTGTCGTATATACTAAGATATTCTCTTTGCTATCTTTTGGACATGTTTCTCTCCATGATGCTTTTAAAAGTCATATCAAATTTTGCCAAACATGGTTTTCTGGCCAGTAGTTGATTTTGATTTTTTTTTTTTCCTCTTATCCTGAGAGGAGTGATACATTCATTAACTATTTTGTTGATATTCAGTTCCAGAAGGAGTGTAGTTTATGGGTATATCTGAAGAAAAGAGAATAATAGCAATAATGTGATCTGGATATTTTTAGGGGGAGAGCAGTGGATTTTAATGGGGAGTCATAGGTTTATCTCTAAATCATTCATCATGGTGAAGGAGGATAGTTTGCTTAACTCTTTGTTGTCTCTGATAATGGAAGACACAGTTCAACTTGAAATAAGTTATTCATAGATTATCTTTTCTTTCTCTTTTTTAAGTTTTATTGTGCTTTAGGTGAAAGTTTACAGCGCGAGTTAGTTTCTCGTTCAAAAATTTATGCACAAATTGTTTTGTGACAGGCTTGAAATCCCTGCAATGTATCAACACTCTTCCCCTTTCCACCCTGGGTTTCCCGTGTCCATTCATTCAGTTTTCCTATCCCTTCCTGCCTTCTCGTCTTTGCTTTTGGACAGGTGTTGCCCATTTGCTCTTGCTTACTTGATTGATCTAAGAATCACATTTCTTACGTGTGTTGTTGTTTGTTTTATAGGCCTGTCTAATTTTTGGCTGGAAGGTGGACTTCGGGAGTGGCTTCAGTTCTGAGTTAGGGTGTCCAGGCGCCATAGTCTAAGGGGTTCCTCCAGTCTCTGTCAGGCCAGTAAGTCTGGTCTTTTTTTGTGAATTTAAATATTGTTCTACGTTTTTCTCCTGCTCTGTCTGGGACCCTCTATTATGATCCCTGTCAGAGTAATAGGTGGTAGTAGCCAGGTACTGTCTACTTCTTTTCGGCTTCATGTGGTCCATTAGACCTTTGGACTTAGTATTTTCCTTGTGTCTTTGGTTTTCTTCATTCTCCTTTGCTCCAGACAGGATGGGACCAATAGATGTATCTTACATGGCCACTTGCAAGCTTTTAAGACTCCCGAGGCTTCTCCTCGAAGATGTAGAACTATCAACTATGTTACGCCAGTTGACCTAGATGTCCCCCAAGACCATGGTCCCAAGCCCTCAGCCCTAGTACTTGTCCCTCTGAGTGTTTGGATGTGTCTAGGAAGCTGCTGTGACTTTGCCTTGGTCAAGTTGTGCTTGACTTCCCCTATTTGTGTATTATCTTTACCTTCACCAAAGTTAACACTTGTTTGTCTACTGTCTAGTTATTGACTTCTTCTCCCCACCCCTCTCTTCCCTAGTAACCATCAAAGATTGTTTTTTTTCTGTGTGTAACCTTTTCTTGAGTTTTTGTAATAATGGTCTCATACAATATTTATCATTTTGTGATTGACTTATTTCACTCAGCATAATGTCCTCCAGCTTCATCCATGTTGTGAGATGTTTCACAGATGTATCATTGTTCTTTATCATTGTGTAGTATTCCATTGTATGTATCGTAGTTTGTTTATGCATTCATCTGTTGATGGGCGCTTAGGTTGTTTCTAGCTTTTTGCTATTGCAAATAATGCTGCAATGATATGGGTGTTTATACGTCTATTTGTGTGACAGTTCTTATTTCTCTAGGATATATTCCTGTGAGTGGGATTGCTGGATCAGGTGGTATTTCTATTTTTCACTTCTTAAGGAGGTGCCATGTCTTTTTGCATAGTGGTTGTACCATTTTACGTTCCCACCAGCAGTGCATAAGAAGTTCCGGTCTCCCCGCAACCTCTCCAATGTTTGTTATTTTCTGGTTTTTTTTTTTTTTTTTTTGATTGGTGCCAGTAGTGCCAGGGTGAGATGGTGTCTCATTGTAGTTTTGATTTGCATCTCTGTAATAGCTAGTGATCACGAGCATTTCCTCACGTGTCTTAGCGGTCTGAATGTCATCTTTGGTGATATCTTTTTAATGCCGGCTAATTACTTGAGTGTACCTATGAGCTGATTGAGTATGATACCATTAAAGCACCTCATATGATCAGCCACATGTTACTATCTATGACAGGTTCACCTGTTCAAAATAATAGCTGCTATAGAGATTTTTATAGTTGTTTTTTTCTTAGTAAGAACCTTTAGTTAGGTGTTGTGAAGTGTGTTTATTTGTTGACTGTCTTAATTTGTAGTTTGAGGAAATGAGTTTTTTTTTTTTTTTTTAAATAATAATTAAGCATGAAACACGGATTAGAGGCTTTGTGCCTTACAAAAGGAATGTTTCCTAAACTCAAGCACAATCACTTTGCTGTAATATTGGATATTATCCTTTATCGAAATGATACTTCAAGACTGAAATTAATTAAGCAAATACGAAGACTTCTAGGGTCAGTTTACAGGAGCCAAAAGTTAAATTAGCCTACCATTTAGGAATCCTAAATATTAATAAATGAAAGGATACAAGGCTTAGGGTCAGGCTGCTTTGTTTTAAACTCCTTTGTAGAGGAAATTGGGAGTTGTGTTGAAAGTACTATCCACCCATTCTTCTGTCCTCCTAGGTTTTGGCACGAATACTAGTGGAAGTAGCATTTTTGGAAATAAACCAGCAACTGGGACTCTGGGAACTGGACTTGGAGCAGGATTTGGAACAGGTAAAGAGCTGCTACAGCAAGAATTAGGAAGTGTTAACGTCTTGGCTTTCTAACTGCTGGAACTTAAGAACTCTATTTGGTCATATGCCTGGAAATAAGAGACCCATATTTCCATTTTCACAGATGGATTCATAAAACATTCCCATCATTTATACTTTACCAGGTCTTAAAACATTGCACACTTACCTTAGAAGCTACATGTTCCTTTTTCTACAAAGTCTTTGTCCTCTCTCAGTGCTGGTCTATGTGGAATTTTCAGTATTTACTATGAACCTTGTTAATATGATGGCATTGTTAACTTTCAGTTCCCCCGTATTACCCTTGTGACAGGGATTTGAGACTTTGTGTATCAAGTAAGTTAGGGTCAGGGTCAGTAAGTTAAAAAGTATTTAACACATACTCTGATGTTTTGCAAAGTCTGTGGATACCTTTCATTTCTTCCCACTGTGATATCGACCTGAAATGTAATCTTTGTCCGTCTGTCTGCTATCATCCAGTAATTATTTTTCAGTGCCTTTGAAAACATTGACCCTTCTGCTTTAAATAATTAGAGTGTAGTGGTGGTCATACAATGCATAAGTGCGTCAGTATGTACAGTTCAACAAGGTTGTTTAAGCATGCAGTTTTGCCTTCCTTCCCACTTCATATGACAATTTAAAGTTTCTGCTTCCATTGTCTGGTTATCTCTTGTCTTTGCTTCTAAGATCTGATCATTATCTCTCATCTCCTTAATTGAACCTCATTTTGTACTCTGTGAACTATTCCTTTCATTTGTTTGTTTCGTTTTTAAAAATAAAACGTATAAGTGCTTATAAAAATTTCTAACTATAAAAGTATCATGAAGACTCAGTCTTTCAGCTATGAGATAATAGCTGTTGAAAGTTTGGTGTGTATCTTGTCAGACCCCTTTCTACCTATTTTTCAAACATGTATTTATACACACACACACATACGTGTTTGTAAGTAATGTGTATTTTATATATAGGTTTTTTGCTGTATTCTTAAATGAAAGCCACATTCTATATGAATATTTTTTAAACCAAAGGCTGAGAGAGGCGTTAGTTGATTATAATATTAATGTAGTGGGTTGCAACCAGTGTTTTAAACAGATGAACTAGAATTTAAAAGTCATTGTATTTAGTAAGGTTAAGTATTGTTTTAGGAAACTTGTGTTTCTGTTATATATGATGTGTGTGTATGTTTTGGATCTCAGTGTACTTTATATTATGTGCTGTAGTCAAAAATGTTTGAAAGCAACTGCCCTTAAGTATTCTGTGACTTGTTTTATTCACTTCACATGATATGGGCATATATATATATTTTTTTTGATCAGTACCTATAGCTCTATTTCATTAAAAAAAAATACACAAGCATTCTATTGTGTATATATGTGTGTATACAAACACATAAATACCTGTACACACACCATTATTTACTTTTCCTCTGTGCACATTTGATTTATTTGGTATTGTTAACAATGCTCTAATAAAGATACTTGTTACATAATTTTGTGTATTAGTATTATTATAGGATTGATACTTAGAATTGGAATTATGTCAGAATATATACATATTTTGAATTTTGGTAGCTCCTGCTAATTCATGTTTTACAAAAAGACCATGACAATTTGCATTCTTGTTCACATTGTATGAAAGTGCCAATTTCTGACATCATCTCTATATTGTTGGGCTTTTTCATGTTCGCATAGATGATAGTAGAAATTGGTGTCTTCAATTTGCATTTCACTAATTACTCGTGAAGGTGGATATCTTTATATATATTTGTTTATGTATATTTATGCCCATTTGAATCTTCAGCTAACTATTCATAATGTTTGATCATTGTCTTTTTAGTGCTTTGTTTATTATGGATATTAACTCTTTTTTGGTTTTATGGTAGAATCTCATTTCAGTGTTTAACTTTTTCACATTTTACCTACGTATATTTTACAAAAAACTAAAGCTAAAAAGCTCTGTTTTTTTGTACATTGTGATCCCTGAACTTAAGCAGAATATGTCATTTGACATCCTGCCAGAGAAATAGTGTTCTTTTCTAACCCTGGAGGGAAAAATAGCTTTGATATGGGCAAATAAAGGGTTTTTTCAAAGGTTGTTTTGAAACTGGAGTTTACAAACCATGAACCTAAGGCCTGAATGAGATGCTAGTCTTATGTCGCATATATTTCTAGCAAGCCTTTTTGTTCATCATTTAATTTTGTCTGTGGTATCTTTCTTTATGTACAGGTTTTTATTTTTATGTGTTGAAAGTTTTTCTTTCCTCTTTGGCATTTAGGTCTTACAAGTCTTGAATAGAAATACCTTCTCTTGTAGTCTAAGATTATTAAAAAAAAGTGTAGTTTTTTTCTGGTGCTTCTACTTTGTGAAAATTTAATAGTCCAACTTTTTTATTTATTTGACTGTATTCAGTTTTTTTTAAACAGTTCTCCCTCATACACAACAAATTACATTTTTGTTGTTACGTATTCCTCTTTCATGTATTGTCCATATAAACTAAAGGACAAATACAATCAATAAAGTTTACACCTCCACTCTTAGCAGCTGTAGATAATGTGGGGAAACAATGATGAGAATCAACAAACACAGTCTTGGATTTTTTCGATTGTCACATCTATAAAAGCTGACTTTTGTTTTTGAGAGGAATGTGTCTCCAGACCTTTATATATAAACACCCATCTTCAGGAACTTTGCATTTCATGGAATCACAAATAGAATAGCACTATACCTTTGGGCTGTATTTTTGGGCTTTAGCTAAGTGACTGGTCCTGTGCAGCCTTTTGGTTTGAGTGATAGATAATCAAACACAAGCCTCAGTAAAAATAAATTTTCCTATAACATGGGCCTTTGGGTTTTTCATGAGTAATCGACAATACAAATATTAATAGTATAAATATTTAGAGTCTGTTAAAAGGTATCTAGTAAGCAGTTTTTGTGCTCTTAAGGTTTAACTGGCCAATCTTAGTATAAAATGTTTTATGCTGTCACTTGGTGTGTGATTTTTTTCCCCGTGTGCTCAGACTGAGGAACACTTATTAAATGATGGGTATGTCAATTTTTTATTCTTCAGTGATACTATTAACTACCTGCACAGCATACCATTTTCTAGGTAGTTACTTGGTAATATTATTAAGAAGTTTTGATTCTTGATGTTTTCTGTGAAGTAGTAATTTTAAGGATATATTTGGTAAGATTGACTGCTCTACTACGATCTACACAGAAAAAATATTCTACCCAAAGCCAACAGATAGTATAGACAGAATTAAATCCTAACATTTGTTAGAAGGTCCCAAGGAGAATATAATTATTTTCACTTTTTCCTTGAGCCACTTGGAGTTTCTAGAGCCACTATTTCCATATTGCCCCCAATATAGCTTCTTTATGACTGTCACAGTTAATCATAAATATAGCATATTTTCATATCTTAACTGATTACCAAACCATTATCATATCACATGCAACATCACACTCATAATGTCCCACAACTGGTGGACTGTTAGTAAGTCCTTTCATTAAGCATAAAAAGCCATTTGTGCATTAAGGAAGACAGAACTGGGTAAAACACGTATTTTTTTCCATTATAAATTGGAACAGAATGCAGTTAGGGTATATTATGACATTACCTTACCAGATTAACTGAACCTCCTACCAATGCCTTATTTACTCTCTTGTGAATTACTGAAATATAGGTGTCATTAGACTGTTTCATCGGCTTGCACCCAGGACTGCTGCAAAGGCAAGGGGAGGAACACATACCCAGCCAGAAACAAAAAATTTTTATCTATTTTATGCATTCAGATTTCATCCAAGTTTTTTATCAAGGATAGAGAGACATTTGGATAGCTATCAGTCATCATCATCATCTTCCTCAGAACTGCTGTAAAGCATATCATTTGATTGAGAAATGTGATTTTAGTATTTCATGGAGCTTGCGCTATTTTCCATGATTTGAGACTTTAAATGAAGTCTTGCTAAACCCAGTCCCAAAGTTGGGCTTTTTAAGGTGAAATAATCCCGTTCTCTATTTTGAATGGCTACATTGCTGGTTTATTGTTATTTGTGAGACTGGACAGTTATGGACTGTTTTATCCATTCAGTAGTCACCCTTACTAATTTATATTGTATGGATTGTCTATGTATAAACTTCCTGTCTGCTTTTTGTTGTGATCTCAGAGCAATTCGGTTACATTATATACTATATAAAAATATTATATAAAATAATATATTCCATGTAATATGTTTAACCTTTAAGTATTATATCTTTGAAGTGATTTTCCTGGTATACCATGTCTCTGTCAAGATGCAGTTGATATGTAAAAAGGCATTTCAGGTCCTCCACATTGCCAATAACTTTTCCTCACTAAATTTTCCCTATTTTACCCTTTTAAAATCATTGCTGATAACATAAACAAGGTCCATAAGCAAGATTCATTAGGTATAAAACATTGCAGGATTCTGCAGTAGGTTTCCCCTGTTGAAAAATTAGTTCTTATTCCATCAAATCTGGTTCATGCAGAAACATGAGTCTGTTTAATAACCTTATCACTGGACATTTAAGTTTTTGTAAGAAATGTTTGCCTTTGTCTAGCTAAAGCAGTTTTCATGAGATGGTTAACTTTGACAATCTTAATTTTTGCTATTCTAAGAAGATTTATTGGATTTGGTTTTGGATAGTTTAGCCTATCTGTGAGTCAGAAAGATTAAATAGTGTTTGAGGCATCTGAGTGTTTTGATTGACAAATACTGAAATTTAAGGAGAATTGATTATTTAATGCTTTGAAAATATATCGTACTATAGAATAGCACGTTAAGAGCCCTGGTTGTATTGTTAGATGCACCTGTTTGAACCCCAGCTCTACCATACTACATTTATTACAGTGGGCTAATTATACTAAATCCACAGTTTTCTCATCTGTAAAATCGGGATAATAGTTACAACTTCAGGAACTTGTGAAGATTAAATGAGATGATAATAGCTAGTCTTTAATGTTTAGTATATATCAGATCTCTTCTAAATGCTTTACATGTATTTATTCATTTTGATCTTAGAATAAACCTCTATGCTATATATTATCTGGTGCTTTAGTTGAGAAAACTGAAGCACAGAGAGGTTGAGTATTTTGCCTATGATGTATGCAATGCCCTTAGCACTGTCCCTAGCACATAATTAGCAGTTACTGTATTAGCTCTTTTGTTGAAATGAGTGGTCATTTTGAAGTTACCAAATGTATTATATTTTTAAGTAACTGTCCTGTGGCACAACATTCAAAGGCTCTTCTGTGGCACTTTTTTCTTTCCCCTTGTCTCCATAGCTCTTGGTGCTGGACAGGCATCTTTGTTTGGGAACAACCAACCTAAGATCGGAGGGCCTCTGGGTACAGGAGCCTTTGGGGGCCCTGGATTTAATACTACAACAGCCACTTTGGGTTTTGGAGCCCCTCAGGTCCCAGTAGGTAAGTGTCATTCACTTTAGAAGACTTTACTCAGTTTATTTCTTGCTAATACTTGACTTGCTGTCTTTTTTCTATCTCACCTCTGTTCCTCACCATGAAAGTAATACATACATGCATGTCATCAACAATTGTATAGTACAGAAGGGCTTGTAACGGGTTCCCTTCTTCCCTACTCTCAGGCCTCCTCCTCCAAAGAAACCACTTTTGTTAATGCTTTTAGTTCATATGGTGTATAAGTCCGTATCTAAATGATGTGCTTATATCGTCGTGCTTTGCTTTTTTAAGTATATAGTAAATTCAGTATGGTAGGTGAGAATTTAGCTCACTTATCACCCTCTATCTTCTTATTTACTTCTCTCAGTATAACTTTATTTACTAAATTCACTAAATTTAGTTTTAAACATATTGAAGTGTTTTTCAGACTTCATTTAAATACCCCTTCCCAGTTTTTGTCATATTGGCCTAACACCTTTGTTATTATTTACTTGTATCTTAAGAAAATTAACTTACTTTTTAATTTGAATTTGTTTTTAAAGAAAACTGTGTTCTACAGGAAATGAAAAACTAGTATCACTTGGTGTAAATAGAATAAGTAAGATAAATAGATAGACTGGTAGGTGGGTGAGTAGGTAGGTGAGGGAATGAATGGATGGATGGATAACGTAGGTAGGCAGATAGAAAAAAGTTAGTCTTTGTACTGTTTATCTTCTGTACTGCCATGATACCTGTTCCACATTTTGAGAAACCTTTGCAAATTTAGTGTGTGTACGTATATCCAAAAACCCCAAACCAGTTGCCATCAAGTTGATTCCAACACATGGCAATCCTGTAGGGCAGAGTAGAACCACCCTATAGCATTTCGAAGATTGTAATCTTTACAGGAGGAGGTTGTCAACATCTTTCTCCCATGGAGCAACTGGTGGGTTCAAACCACTGACCTTTCAGTTAGCAGCTGAGTGCTTAACCACTGGGATGCCGTGGCTTCTTGTGTATTTATACACTTTTTCTTATTTAATCAACTAGGAGATTGAATTTTTCTTTTTTTAATTGTGCTTTAAGTGAAAGTTTACAATTCAAGTTAGTCTCTCATACAAACGTTTATACATACATTGTCATGTGACCCTAGTTGCTCTCCCTATACTGTGACAGACAGCACACTCCTCCTAGGAGATTGTATTTCTTGATTCCTTTTTGTCAAGAGAGGATGTTAGTGCCACTACCTACCCTTCTCTTTCTCTTAGTTCTACTTTCGCCATCTTTATGTTTTTATATTGATAAAGTTATAACATGTTAGTCTGAGTTATCTGGGGCTGCTATAACAGAAATACCACAAGTGGATGGCTTTAACAAAGAGAAATTTATTCTGTCACAGTCTGGTAGACTAGAAATCCAAATTCAGGGTGCCAGCTCCAGGGGAAGGCTTTCTCGCACTGCCAGCTCTGGGGGAAGGTCCTTGTCATCAATCCTCCCCTGATCTAGGAGCTTCTCCATGCAGGAACCCCAGGTCCAAAGGACATGCCATGCTCCCAGCACTGCATTCTTGGTGGTATGAGGTCCCCCCATGTCTCTCTGCTCACTTCTCTCTTTTTTTTTTCTTTTTTCTTAAAAGGTATATATATATTTTTTTTTTAATACTTTATTGTACTTCAGGTGAAGGCTTACAGAACAGATAGTTTCTCATGTAACAGTAACACACATGCTGTTTTATGA